ACTGCTGATGAAAGACCTCCGGGATTTTAGAGGATCTCACAGGGTGTGATTGCGGGCTGGAGATCAGAGGCTGTAAACTAGCCGAGCAGCAGTTCAGAAACTCCCCAGCCTGCCACACACTTGAAAGAGCCTCCACTCAGACCGAGGGCCACGGTGCTGAACTGGCAAAACTCCCACAGTGTAGCAATGTGGGCATGCATACGCTGATTGTCAGTTCTGGGAGATGGGGAGGCTGGACCAAGTCTCAGGGAAACCACCTTTCCAGAGTTAACAGCGGGCTTGAACCGGCCCCCTTAGATAGTCTTGAAACTCACTGCAAACTCACTGACTTTTGGGGTATGACTTTTCCACCTGGAAGGAAGGATAAGAAAGTCTTCATGGTTGGCAAGGGGGCCGGATGGAGTTGGGCCTAGCTCATTGGCCAAAGCACCTGCCTTGCCCATTTGAGACTGTGCTTGTATGTACTGCCTGTGTGCACGGAACATCGTCCCAGCTGTGCAGCCATGTGCAAGCATCACCACTAAAATGTGTGATCCCAGAGAGTGCCACCACGAAACAAGTTGTGTCAGCACAGAGGCTGGGAGGTGCTCCCAGGAAGCATGGGTTCTAGTACCGCAGCTGAAAGGTGTGAGCCCTGGCAAGCACCAAGGTCGAAATCAGAGCACTGCAGCCATATAGGAGAGCACTACAGCCTAGCTAGTATGGGAGAGCCTGGGGTCAGCAGCAACTTGGAAAGGGTGGCCTGAGTAGGGAACTTGCCTGGGTCTCCTGATGCTGTTGCAATTACTGCTCTTGACAACACACACACACACACACACACACACACACACACACACACACACTCCCATGTGCCACCACGTGTCTTTCTCCACCGCCCATCCTATCAAACCTCAATTGTGCTAGTTAAAACCCTCAGTCATAATTTAAGGAGAGGGACAGATATAGTATTTGTGGGATATTAAAAAAAACAGTATGAAACTAATATCCAAGGATGGGGAAAACAGGCCAGGAGGTCTGGTTAGTGGTTGGTCAGTGGTATGGGAGATGGAGGGTAGTTAAGACAGAGGAGGGTCCATTATGACAATACCTGTTGCAAAAGGTCACTCTGGATAAGAACTGAGTGTGGAAAGCAGGTAATAGGATATGCATGATCACCTTTCAGCATTTGTATTGCAAACCATAATGCCTAAAATGAGAGAGAGAGAGAGAGAGAGGAGAGAGAGAGAGAGAGAGAAGAGGTGTCTGCCATAGAGGCAGGCTGCAGAGGGAGGTGGCTTGAAGGGGTGGGAGGGAAACTGGGGACACTGGTCCTAGGAAATTACACTGGTGAAGCGATGGGTGTCAGAACATTGTATGACTGAAACGCAATCATGAACAATTTTGTAATGCTCTATCTCTCGGTGATCAATACAAAAGTTTTTTTAAATAAAAAATAAACGTAAAATATTTAAAAAGAATCCTTTAGGGGCCGGAGTGATAGTACAGTGGGGTGGGCACTTGTTTTACATGCAGCCCACCTGAGCCTGATCTCAGGCATCCCATGTGGTCCCCTGAGCACCACCAGGAGTGATTTCTGAGTGCAGACCCAGAATTAACTCCTCAGCATTGCCAAATGTGACTTAAGACAAAATAGCTCTCAGCTCCCTAGTTTTTCCAATAGTACTTGGGCTTAAGTTGTTTTTTAAACATCAAAGTTGTTTTTCCCCTTCCACTGCATCACCCCTTCCCTTCCCTGCCGACCCCTCTCTCCCCCATACACATCTCTTTCCTTCTTAGAGGACACTGAGTAGACAATACTGCTCCCAACTCCCAGGCTTGTGCGAGAGCCCCTCACAGGGACAGGCTGTCTCTGTCGATTGCTGGCCCTGACCTCATGCACCCTCCATGTGGGACCTTGGGCAGCTCACTGAACTTGGGTTAATCTCTTCGTGCAGTTTGGAAAGAGAAGAGTAGTCTTTGAAATGATGAGAGATGACAGTAATAGTTGGAAATGATCATTTTAGACAGAAACTGAGTGTTGAAAGTAGGCAAAGGGATATACCTGTTAACCTTTCATTATATGTATTGCAAACCATAAGGCCCAAAAGTGGGAGTGGGGGGAGAGGAGAGGTAGAGGAAAGGGAGAAAAAAGGAGAGGAGAGAGAGATGAGAGGAGGCCATAGTAGTGGAGTGGGAGGGGACATGGAACATTGGTGGTGGGAAATGTACACTGGTATTGGAACATTATATGACTAATTATGAACAACTTTGTAAATGTGTTTATCAATGTGATTTAATTTTTAAAAAAGTGATGAGAGAGTGTCAGGGGCCGTTGTCCAGCAGGAAGGGCATTTGCCTTGCACATGAACTCACCCTATGGGCCTCAGAGCCTACCAGGAGGGATTCCTGAGCACAGAGTCCGGAGTAAGCTCTAAGAGCTGCTGGGTATGACCCCCAAACAAACTAAGGAAAATGAGACGTAATGAGAGTATTCAAACTAGGAGCAGCACAAGGGCAGAGTTTCTAGGATAAAGCCAGCTTTGGGGAGCCTGTGGGGGTGTGACTTTGGGGTGGGAAACCTCGTAAACCACTCAACTGCAATGCAGTCCATCTGGCTGCTTGTGGGCTCTTGAGTTGGTGGTTTGCCACCTGGGGCGTAGTGGGCAGAGCCTAGAGACCTTTTTTGTTTTCCCAACTGGGGAATGTTACCTGTGTTCTGCTGACAAAGGACCCAGATGCTCCTGGGCAACCTCTTGTGCAGGGGTCAGCCTCGCCCAGGAATTGACCCAACTGTTGCAGCCACTGGCGGAGCCTTAAGAGTATTTGACCCCCGGTTGACGCTCAAGCTAGTCCAGGCATTTGGAGTCTCTTCACTGTCCCCCACCTTGGAAGATGCATTCTTTTTTTTTTTTTTTTTGCTTTCCTCGCTCCCCAAAGCTGCCCCTGGCATCCAGCATGCATAGAGTCATGCAGTGGGAAGACTCTGTGACTCGGCCTCTATAAAGACTTCCCCCACCCGACTCCTATGTAAAATTTTTAAGAGTTGATGGGTAGTTAATGGAAATTTATTTGTTCTGACAGGCACTAGGCATAGTTGGGGTTTTTTTTTAAGTATTTATCATCACTGGTTATTGGGGAAATGCAAACCAAAACAACCATGATTTATCTCTCACCAATGACAGTGGTTGATATCAAGCCGGGAAACACTCGGCACTGACTGGTAGGCAGCAGAAAAGGAACAAACACTCAGACACTGTGGGTGGGAAGGCTGTCTGGTTTGGCCTCTCTGGAAAACAGTCGGGAAACTTCCCCCGGATTGAACACAGAATTAATTACCACAGGGCCCGGAGATTCCACTCCTGGGCATCTCTCCCAAGAACACAAAAACATTCACTTGAAAGAGAGATGCGCGCCCATGCTCACGTCAGCGCTAAGTGTGATAGTAGAGAACCAAAAACAACCAAGCGCCCAACAACTGATGTATGGATAAAGAAGCTGTAGCCTAGCTCCACGGTGGAAGATGAAATCTTGTCTTTCGCTGCAGCTTGGCTAGAACTGGGAGGGTGTAAGGCTAAGCAAAGTGAGTCAGAAGGAGGACAAATCCCAGATGATCTCACTCATATGTGGAGTGAGAAACAAAGTAAAGGAACAAAGTAAGGGTATAGACAAACAATGGCCCGTGAAAACAAACTGAAGGTTCTGCCTGCAGTTCCCTGGGCACATTCCTGACTCCACGTGCTCCCACCTGCTTCCTACTTGCTTCTTTTTAATTCTCTTTTTTATTTATTTTATTTTTTGCTTTTTGGGTCACGCCCGGCGATGCTCATGGATTACTCCTGGCTTTGCACTCAGGGATCACTCCTATCGGTGCTCGGGGGACCATATGGGATGCTGGGAATTGAACCCGGGTCGGCCACATGCAAGGCAAACGCCCTACCCGCTGTGCTATTGCTCCAGCCCCCTTAATTCTCTTTTTTAGTTTTTGGGTCACATCTGCAGTGCTCAGGGCTTACTCCTGACTCTGCACCCAGGGATCACTCCTGGCAGTGCTCCTATGGGGTGCCGGAGATCAAACTATGGTCAGCTGCATGCAGGATTGCACTGTAGCACTGTCCTCCCACTGTTCATCGATTTGCTTGAGCGGGCACCAGTAACGTCTCCATTGTGAGACTTGTTACTGTTTTTGGCATATTAAATACACCATGGGGAGCTTGCCAGGCCTCTGCCATGCAGGCGGGATACTCTAGGTAGCTTGCAGGGCTCTCTGAGAGGGACGGAGGAATCAAATCCAGGTCAGTCACGTGCAAGGCAAACACCCTACCCTCTGTGCTATCTCTCCTACTCCAGCTTCCTATTTGTTTCTTATATTATATAAAATCAGGCATGTGCTGGTAGGCTACAGGAGTTGTTTCTCACCTGAGAGGAAATCAGGGGTGGTCTGTCTGTCTTGGTTTTGGGAGCCACATCCAGAATTGCTTAGGGACTAGTCCCTGGGTAGTGGTACCCAATAGTGGTGGAGGGTCATGCAATGCTAGGGATCGAAGCTGTGCTTCCTTCACACAGAACGTACATTCAGTCTGTTGAGCTCTCTCCAGCACCCTATATCCTTTTAAATCCTTTTATCCAGTCCACAGAATTATTTCTCTCTCCTAGTAATCCAGTGAGCAAACAACATTGAGAATCAATGGTTTAGAAATAATAATAATGATGATCACGGTCACGGTCCTCCCATTGTTTATCGATTTGCTCAAGCGGGCCCAGTGATGTCTCCATTGTGAGACTTCTTGTTACTGTGTTTGGCATACCGAATACATCACGGGGAGCTTGCCAGGCTTTGCGGTGCGGGCGAGATACTCTCGGTAGCTTGCCGGGCTCTCTGAGAGGGGCGGAGGAAAATGATGATGATGATGATGATGATGATGATGATGATGATGATAATTAATAATAATAACAATAGATAACGGGGAGCAGGACCAAGAGCCATATATGAAACTGATGCCATTGATGTCTGGTCTTTCTAGGTGTTTCGGCACGGAGACCGCAGCCCCATCGAAACCTTCCCCGATGACCCCATCCAGGAATCCTCATGGCCACAGGGGTTTGGCCAGCTCACTCAGGTTGGTTGCATTTTCAGATAAACTGTTGCTAGGTCTCTAGGGATGCAGAGCATGGTGAGGTTTGTCATCTGTTGAAACCAGATAAGGACTTGACTAGCTAAGATCTGGCCAAGTGTTTTGCACACAATCCTGGCACCAAAAAAACTACCTCAAATATTTTTCAATTGTTGAACAAGGGGCACTTATGGTCAACTTGGGTGCTTTCTGATCTACCCTTGGTGACTAATAGGGAAAATATTGAATTGACTGTTGGACTCTGTTTAACCAATTATCCTTGAGACGTTATTAAAACCTCAGAGATGTCCCATGGACGGGAACAAGAATCAAGGAATTTGTGACTCAGCAACTCAGCGGTAGAACTCTTACCTTGAAGGTGAGAGGCCCCCGAAAAAATTTGTGGAATTATCTGAGGCCAAGGAGACAGCTCAGAGAGCTGGAGCACTACTTGGGAAAGAACTTTTCAGGAGAAAGAACTTTTCACCCCCCCACCAGGTTCAATCCCCAGCTTCCATGGTATTCACCCACCCTCCCATTGCTATGGGTGACTCCAAAAGCCAAAATAACAACAGTGATAATTAAACAGTGATAAATAAATAAAAGAAAGTCAATGTTTTACTTGCTCAGGCTCCACCAGAAAAGATGAAAACAAATATCATCTAGAAGCTGAGTTGACTGACTTGGGAAAACTCAATTCCTCTAGAACCAGAAACTAAATTTTTCTTGTCAGCTGGATTTTTTTTTTTTTAGATTTTTATTAGTGAAACACCATGAGGTACAGTTGTAGACTTACAAATTTTTGTGCTTGGGTTTCAGTTATACAATGATCAAGTACCCATCCCTCCACCAGTGCCCATTTTCCACCACCACAGGTCCCAGTATCCCTCCCACCCACCCCCCATCCTTCCCATCCCACCCTGCCTCTGTGGCAGGGCATTCCCTTTTGTTCTCTCTCTCCTTTTGGGTGTTGTGGTTCGCAAAAGAGGCAATGGGTGACAATCATGTTTGGACTATAGTCTACTTTCAGCATGCTTCTCCCATCCTGGGAGGATCCTCCCAACACCCTTTATTTGGTGCTCCCTTCTCTATCTGAGCTCCCTTTTCCCCTAGCATGTGTGGTTGGCCTCCAAGCCATGGAGCAAAATTCCTGGTACTAATCTCGGCCACTCTTGGGTGTTAGTCTCCTATTTTGTTACTTTATGTTCCCCAGATGAATGCAGTCTTTCTATGTCTATCCCTCTCTTTCTGACTCATTTCGCTTAACATAATACTTTCCATGTAGTACCGCTTGTATGTAAATTTCATGACTTCATCTTTTCTAACAGCTGCATAGTACTCCATTGTGTAAATATACCACAGTTTCTTTAACCAGTCATCTGTTCTCAGGCACTCAGGTTTTTTCCAGATTCTGGCTGTTGTAAAGAGTTGTCAACTGGATTTGTTGGGGCTCAGCCTTCCTTAGAAGTGGTTCATTAACCACCGGGACCCATCTTTCCTGAAGCACATCCAAGGAGGTGGTGAACAGAGGCACAAAGAGGTGTCATCACTGCTCCGATCCTGACTTCCCAGGGCCTTTCAGAGGTGGGGGCGCTTCTCCAGGAAGTGATATTTGACATATCATTCCAAGGTCCCAGCTGATTGCCAGTCAGTCAGGTGACATGGCCACAAGTGGAGGACAAGCTTTATCAGTTGCCTGGAGAGATAGTACAGCAGGCAGGGCATATGCCTTGCAGCCAACCCATCTTCTATCCCTAGCACTCCATATGGTCCCCCAAATTCACCAGGAATGATCCCTGAGCTCAGAGCTAAGACTAAACCCTGAACAACCACCAGGTGTGGCCCCCAAATAAAATTAAACAAAATAGGAGCTTTATTGGCAATCAGCTGGCCTTAGAAGATCGTGGTCTCCTGTCTTTAAAGTAACCATCTAGCCCACATGGCTTGGTTAGAGAAAGAGAACAGAGGTTTCAAGAAGGGTGCTGTGAGATTGAACCAACAAAGTCTCCCATGGACCACTCCATTTTATCTGCAAACATAAGTGAGGAAGAGGTTCAAATAGGAGAAACAGAGACCTTGTTTTTAATCTTTGGGGGAAAGGTAACAAAAGAAGGGCCAGAACAATAGTACAGTGGGTAAGGTGCTTGCTTTGTAACTAGATGATCCGGGTTTGATCCCCAGCATCCCATATGATCCCTTGAGTCGGCCAGGAGTGATCTCTGAGCATCATTAAAAAAAGAAAAAAGAAAGACATGTACACAGTGTGTCTCAAAAGCTTGCTCCTTCCAGCTCACAACCTGGGAATCTCTGGGCAGGGAACTGAGCTATGTACAGCAAACAGGACGCTTGCATTCGATCCCTAGAATCCCATATGGTTCCCCGAGCACCGCCAGGAATAATTCCTGAGTGCAGAGCCAGGAGTAACCCCTGAGCATTGCTAGGTGTGGTCCAAACTGCCCCATTTCCCCCCACCCCCCCCAAAAAATTCACTTGTTAAAATGCAGGTTCCAGAGCTGTGTCCTAAGCAGGAATTTGGGGGAAAAAGGAGGAATCTGCTTGATCATTTTCCTTCTGATGCCAGTCATGCATGACGAACATCAAGCTAAACCACCAATTCTCAATGATTACTATCAGCATCTTTGGGTGAGTTTGTTAAAAACAGATTCCTGAGCTCCACCCTGAAAATTCTGGTTTAGTAGGTCAAGGGCGTGGCCCAAAATTTAATTTCAAACCTACTCCCAGGTAATGCTGATACTGCTGCTCCCTAGGCCCCACTTTTAGTAATTAGTTCTGGTTTTGGGGTTTTTTTTCTATGAAACAAGCATAAATTATGCAGATAATGAAGTATTGCTTTAAAAGAAGCCTGACGTGATCTCTCAGTTCATCCTAGTCAACCTTTTTAGCAGTCATTGGATTTCTCCCATAATCCTCCTGGCAAGTGGTCAACCAGTCCCCTGAAAACATTTACCACAAAGATGAGCCACTGAATTCACTTCCTTACAACAGACATGAAGTGTTCACTTAATGCTTCAGATCAAATCAGTTTACTCACTCTCTGTCAAGTGCTAATGAAAAGAAATGTGTTTTCTCAGAAAGTCATGGCTGTAGATGAATGCACTCTTTTCTTTCCTTGAAATGGGTGTTATTGAGGATGTTATACCTTGTGCAACTAAAATAACACCATTGTTCATGCTGCACATTCAAAGAGAAGAGATGTGCCCACTTTTGCCACTCCTATTCAATATAGTATTAGAAGTCCTGGCCATTGTAGTTAGGCAAGAGAAAGGTATCAAGGGAATACAGATAGGAAAGGAAGAGGTCAAAATATCACTATTTGCAGACGATATGATATGGGCTGGAGCAATAGCACAGCGGGTAGGGTGTTTGCCTTGCACGCAGCCAACATGGCCGACCCGAGTTCGATTCCTCTGCCCCTCTCGGAGAGCCCGGCAAGTTCCGAGAGTATCTTGCCCGCACAGCAGAGCCTGGCAAGCTACTTGTGATGTATTCAATATGCCAAACACAGTAACAACAAGTCTCACAAAGGAGATGTTACTGGGCCCGCTTGAGCAAATCGGTGAACAACGGGAGGACCGTGATGATACTATACTTAGAAAACTCTAGAGATTCTACAGAAAAACTCCTAGAAATAATAGGTTGGTTTAGTAAAGTGGCAGGCTACAAAATCAACACCCAAAAGTCCCTGGCTTTCGTATATACAAGTAACGAAAGAGAAGAAATAGACATTTAAAAAAATCCCGTTCACAATAGTACCTCAGAAAATCAAGTACCTCGGAGTCAGCTTAACCAAAGAGGTGAAGGACTTATACAAGGAAAATTACAAAACACTACTTCAAAAAATAAAAGAGTACACTAGGAAATGGAGACACATCCCCTGCTCATGGATAGGGAGGATTAACATTATCAAAATGGCAATACTGCCCAAAGCACTACACAAATTCAATGCGGTCCCTATCAGGATACCCATGACATTTTTCAAAGAAATAGACAAAACACTCCTGAAATTCATATGGAACAATAAACCCCCATGAATAGCAAAAACAATCCTTGAGAAAAAAGAGGATGGACAGCATCACCCTCCCCAACTTCAAACTGTACTACAAAGCAGTAGTAATTAAGACTGCATGGTACTGGGCTAGAAACAGACCTGCAGACCAATGGAATAGAGTTGAATATTCTGTCACAGACCCCCAAATATATGACCACTTAATCTTTGACAAAGGAGCAAGAAATGTGAAGTGGGACAAGGAAAGCCTCTTCATTAAGTGGTGCTGGGAAAACTGGAAAGCTACCTGCAAAAAAAAATGAACACCGACCTCTGTCTAATGCCAGGCACAAAAGTCAGATCAAAGTGGATTAAAGACCTCAATATCAGACATGAATCCATAAGGTACATAGAGGAAAATGTAGGCAGAGCTCTCCACGACATTGAAGCTAAAAACACCTTTAAGGATGAAATAGCACTGGCCATGCAAGTGGAAGCAAACATAAACAAATGGGATTACATAAAACTAAGAAGCTTCTGCACTTCAAAAGAAACAGTGACCAAAATACAGAAAGAGCCCACAGAATAGGAATGAATATTTACCAAATACCCATCTGATTAATGGATTAATATTCAGGATATACAAGACACTGGTAGAATTGTACAAGAAAAATACCTCCAACACCATCAAAAAATGGGGAGAAGAAATGAACAGAAGTTTCCTCAAAAAACAAATACAAATGGCCAAAATGCACATGAAAAAAATGCTCCACATCGCTAGCCATCAGGGAGATGCAAATCAAAACAATAATGAGATATCATCTCACACCACAGAGACTGGCACACATTCAAAAGAACAAAAGCAACCAGTGCTGGTGTGGATGTGGGGTAATAGGGACACTCTTTCACTGTTGGTGGGAATGCTACTAGTCCAGCCTTTCTGGAAAACAATATGGACAGTCCTTCAGAAACTAGAAATTGAGCTTCCATATGACCCCGCAATACCACTTCTGGGAATATATCCCGAGGATGCAAAAAAGCACAGTAGAAATGACATCTATACCTATATGTTCATTGCAGCACTGTTCACAATAGCCAAAATCTGGAAGTAACCCAAGTACCCTGGAACAGATAACTGGTTAAAGAAACTTTGGTACATCTACACAGTGGAATACTATGCAGAGAGATGAAGTTATGAACTTTGCTTATAAATGGATAGTTATGGAGAATATCATTTTAAGTGAAATGAGTCAGAAAGAGAGGGACAGGCATAGAAGGACTGCACTCATTTGTGGAGTATAAAACAACATATCATGAGGCTGACACCTAAGGACTGTAGATACATGGGACAGATAGATTTCTCCATAGCTGGAAGCCTGCCTCATGAGCAAAGGGGAGAAAGCAGCTAGAATAGGGAAGGGATCACTAAGAAAAAGATGGCTGGAGGAATCGGCCAGGATGAGAGATGTGCGCAGAAAGTAGATAAAGTATCAAACATGATAACCTCTCAGAGTCTATATTGCAAACCATAAGCCCCAAAGTAGAGAGAGTTTATGGGGAATCATGTCTGCCATAGAGGCAGGGAGAGGGTAGGAAAGGGGGGGTATACTGGGGATATTGGTGGTGAGGAATGTGCACTGGTGGAGAGACGGGTGTTTGATCATTGTGTGATTGTAACCCAAACATGAAAGTATCTATCTTGTAACTATCTCACGGTGATTCAATAAAATTTAAAAAAACAAAAAAGAAGACGAAGAATGATGCTCTCTGAACTTAACTTTCGCTTATCTCTGTTCCCTTAGCTGGGCATGGAGCAACACTATGAACTTGGAACATATCTAAGGAAGAGATATGCAGATTTCTTGAATGAGTCCTATAAACATGAACAGGCAAGTTGGGGAGCCTCGAATGGGAGCCTTGATCTGTAGAAGAATCTGTAAAAGTGCTTTGCCTGTTTCTGGTTGAACTTTCACACAGGTCACAGGTCTTGTCAAACAATGTACTAAACAAGTGTGCAAATGTTTAGCTCCTAATAATCTGTGAAGATGACAAAATTCAACATTGTATGGGCCTCGAGGGAAGATGTTTTGGTTTAGTTAGTAATTACCATGTAATGGGTCTCCTTTGCTCTATTCAATTATTGGCATATTTGGTTGCTTTATATCATCATATACTCACAGTCGTGCCTCTCCCGCAACATCATTTGATAGGGATAGGAGCCCCCAAGTCTTCTTAGATTTTAGTGTGGGTGAACGGCCTTTTCTCAGATCAACTCTCAGCCTCACTGTGTATGTGTGTTGGGGGAGGGGAGATGCCCACTTCCTCTCACTTGTGCTCTGCTTCGATGTGCCTGCTCTAGGTTTACGTCCGAAGCACAGACATTGACCGGACATTGATGAGTGCAATGACAAACCTGGCTGCCCTCTTCCCCCCAGAAGGAACCAGCATCTGGAACCCCAGCCTGGCCTGGCAGCCCATCCCTGTGCACACAGTCCCTCGATCTGAAGACCAGGTCAGTGTGAGGACAAAACCAGGAGACTTCATTGGGGGAATTCAGCTGCTCAGTGCCTGTGGATTTGGGAGTCCCCCACTCCCATTTCGTTTTGTTGTTGTTGCTCCGACTGGGGATTGCACACCCTTGGCTGCAGTCCCACTGGAATGGAATTCTGCATGTGGGAAGATGCCAGGGATCAAATGCTGTGTGCTCAGACCACTGGGATCTCCAGAGCCCTGTGTGGTACAATCTCGAGTCTTTCCTAAATAAAACTGCAAAGGATAATGGGGCGAAGAGGCATAAAAGGAGTCAGAGTGGGGCCAGAGCAATAAGTACAGTAGGTAGGGTGCTTACTTTGCATATAGCCAACCTAGGTTTAATCCACAGCACCCCGGGTCATCCCCAGGTCTCTTAGGAGCAAGCCCTGAGCACCGCTGGGTAGGGACCAACAACATTCTCCATCCCCCCAAATAAAAGAGTAGGAGTAGAGTTTCTCTTTGAATCTTAGTCATCTACTTCCTTTTACCTGGACTGTTGGCAGTTTGTGTCTCCATACACACACACGCACACATACACACACACACACACACACACACACACACATGCCTCACAAATTCCCAAATTGAGCCTTCATTTCACTAGCTTGTGGTGCCCCGTAAGAGTTTCTTCTCTTCCTCTCAGGATATCCTAAGACCTCTCTACCTACTAATTTTCTCTTCCCCATAGGAATTCCCCACTCCTTGGATCAAGGACAAAGAAAGATTTGAGTGCTGCCTGCCTTTTCTTCCTCTGTGTCATCATGCATACCTTCAGTAGCAACCTTGAATATCAGATATTGTCCTCATTTTACAACAAGTGCAGTATGTAGTCAAAAATAAACAAAGCCAGTCCCAGGGCCACACATCAGGCCTGGGACTGGATCCAGGTGTAGGCCAGGCCAGGAACCGCATGATTCTCAATGCTCCCCTTTATTTGAATCACCTGGGTGCATTTAAACTCCTAATACCCAGGGCATTTGCCATTAACATATCAGGCTTTAAAGGTAGTGCTGGGCATAGTATTTTTTGTTTTTTTGTTTCAGTGATACTCCTAGCTCTGTACTCAGGAATTATTCCTAGCAGTTCTTGGGGGATCATATGGAATGCCGGGGCATTGAACCTACGTTGGTCACATTCAAGACAAATGTCCGGCCCATTGTAATATCACTCTGGCCCCATGGGCATAGTATTTTAAAAATAATCTGCCTACGGCTGGAAAGATGGGTTAGGGGTTAAGGTAGTTGTTTCACCTATAGGTGAAAATAAGGGCAATGAAATAAATTTAGTAGTCACCAACCAATGGGTTGTAATCAAAATGATACAAGATTGGAGTGAAGAGTTAATACAGAGGTTTAAGGTAGTTGCCTTGCATGTGGCCAACCCTGGTTTGATCCTAATACATTTGATTCCCTCAAGCACTGGTAAGAGTGACCCCAGAATACCACTGGGTTTGTTCTAATCCCCCCCAAAAAAAACAAGAACAAGCAAAAAGGTAAAAATTATATATATAATTTTAATGTGACAATCATAATTATATATTCTATATGTTATAATTATGTATAACATATATAAAATATATATAATTATGAGTGTCGGAGTTAAACTCACTTTATCTTCATAATAGATTTTTTTTAATGTACTGGAAATCAAACATGGGCTTCATACATGCAAGTGCTCTATTTGAACCCTATTCCCAGTCCCTATAATAGATTTTTAAATATACTTTTCTTCCATTAAACATGTGCCCTTATTTTACAGTTCTGCAGTTTGCAAACAATAATGCTTTGACTTTGATTTGTTGAGCTTCTTTCCAGAACCTCTGACTTGTGTGTGTGTGTGTGTGTGTGTGTGTGTGTGTGTTTGTGAATTCACGTGTACATCTAGCACTAGAAATGGACCCTAGAGAAGCCAGGTCACTATCCCATTATGCCATGGAGAACCAACAACATCCATGGTACAGTTAAACTTAGGCAAACTTATAAAAGAAACTATTTTCAGTTCTGTGCAGATACCTCATGCTTTAAGACCAGTAGACCGTTTACTTCTTTCCCCTCAATTTTAGAACTTCCATTCAACTCAAAACACATTGATATTAAAAAATAAAATCTTTTATTCAGGTGGCTTTGTACCTAATGAGGCTTGAAATATGGCTGCAACTTCCTTAGCTTCCCTCCAACACCCCCACAAATCCCTCTCCTGGTTATTAAAAGGATTTATGGTTTCTCTTTTATCCTCAGTTACTGTACCTGCCTTTCCGAAACTGTCCTCGTTTTGAAGAACTTGAGAATGAAACTTTGATCTCAGAGGAATTCCAGAAAATGCTGGATCCTTATAAGGTAAAAAAGTAAAATTAAAATTAGGGACCAGAGAGATAGAACAGAAAGCAAAGCACTTGCCTTGCATACAGCCAACTCTGGTTTGAGTCCTCAGCACCTCATCCGGACCTCAGAACAGAGTTAGGAATAAGTCCTAAGCAGCCAGGAGTGACCCAAAGAACAAAAAAATGGAAATAAAATTTAAATTAAAAAAATTATTAGATAGGCTGAAAAGATAGTACGGGGTTAAGGCACTTATCTTACATCCTGCTGACCCAAGTTCGAATCCTTTGCATTACATATGTTCCCCCGAGCTCCACCAGGAGTCACTCCTGTGCATAGAGCAAGGAGTAGCCCCGAGCTCTGCCAGGTGTGGCCCAAACCGCAACTCTACCCCCTCCCAAAAAACAAAAGAATGGTGCCAGCATTCAGTGAGGGAATATTCAGCCCCCTTCTCTGTCCACACAACACAGAACTGTCCCATCTTAGATGTCACTCGCTCATGCTATTCTTCAAGAACCCGGGAAAAAGTCATTGTTGTTCCCTTTGTGTTTCAGGATTTCATGGAAACTTTGCCCAAACTTTCAGGATACCAGGGACAGGACCTCTTTGGAATTTGGAGTAGAATCTACGATCCCTTATTTTGTGAGGTAAAGGAAACTCTCTCCAACATCAACTTTTCCAATTTTCTAACTTCCCCGATGCTGAAAAATTAATGCATTTTCTAGGGGTGGATGTATTTCTTCTCTTTCCTTTGACTTAAAACATAGTTTAACAGTCTAATAGTCACTTGAAAATTCTGACTTTTCTCCTTCTTATTTTAACCTCTTAGAACCCCCCCAAAAAATGACTTTTCTTCTGTGCCTTGTCATTGTATACTTCTTAGTCACTCACATGGGAGTCTTGAACTCCAGGCAGGGAATTTCATGATGATGTTGAACGTGATCTGGAATCTGGACATACAGAGAGAAATAAACAAGCCCATTTGCAGCTGGGTGGTTGACATGGGCTTATCTGGAAAATATCTCTTCTTCTCTGTAGAAGGCAGATTCAATAGTCTTTGAAACTGGAAGTACACTTTGGAGCATTTCCAAGGCTATCACAGCATTTCCTCCATCTCTCTCTTCCTTTTGCTGCTGCTTTTGTCACAGTGACCAAGAGCGGCCCTCACTAGATCCCGGTGCCCCTACACTTGGCCGTGGTACTTGCCAGGGTATATAGTATGCCCACCTGAGCAAGGAGCGCACCCGGGCCAAGCACTTGAGTTGTGCTGCTCACATACATTCTCTCAGGGGGAGTAGGAGGTCACACTCCTGGCCACGATGCACATACATCTATACTGCTTAAGTGCCAGAATCACATATTTTATTGGGCACCACCCCTAACTCCTCCCCATGATAGAGTCAAACTGACCCAAATAGATACTTTCTTCCCACTAGTTTCACTTGTATCATCCCATTGTTTCAAGACTGGTTTGTTTGCCTGAATAACTTCTCAAAGGACAGTAGGACATATTTTGGTGACAGGCTCCATTTTCTTTTTTCTTCCTCCTTCCCTGCAGCTGAATCTGGGCTATTCAATGTCACAGTCATGGTGTGTGTATCTGGGGTTCTTTTCACCACTCTTCCATTTATTCCCTCTATGGGTCTTCCTTCGTCCCTTTGGCCTGTACTTCTGTGAGTTGACACACACTCTCTCTCTTGCAACTTTTTTTTTCTTTTTGGGTCATACCCAGAAATTCACAGGAGTTACTCCTGGCTTTGCACTCAGGACTTACTCCTGGCGGTGCTCAGGGGACCATATGGGATGCTGGGAATCAAACTCGAGTCCGCCATGTGCAAGGCAAACGCCCTACCCGCTGTACTCCCACTCCAGCACCTCTCTTGCAACTTTTGATGCTAGAGATACGTCTCCATGGTAGGCCACAAATACTGACCCAGTATCTCTCTCTGTCCTTAAGGTGCGGTTTCAATATCTAGTTAATAAGTATTTGCCAAGTGCCTCTAGCCCATGAGAGGCAAGCTTCCCCCAAGAGCCATGAACAAGAGACTGAGGGGAGCAGAGAGTGTGTTGGAGAAGGCTCTGGGTGCACATTGTTTCCTCTGGTTGTTCTTTCAGGCAGTTCAGTCAGCAACCAAGGAAACATGCTCTAGGCCTGAATGATGTTTCCAGGCCCACGGGTGCACATTAAATTGCTTTAACTTTCACCAAGGCCTTGCCCTACTGCACTGAGCCTTCTGCAGAACCTAAATATTCTTCAACCCAGTTTAGCCAGAGGCTATGGGCGAGTAAGAAGGAACACATTCATTCTGTGGGTCTTTTTCTTGAAAATACCATGATGTGTGCTCGCTTCGGCAGCACATATACTAAAACTGGAATGACACTGAGAAGATTAGCATGGCCCCTGCACAAGGATGACACGCAGATTCGTGAAGCATTCCATATTTTTCTGAAACCCAAGCACAAAAATTTGTAAGTCTACAACTGTACCTCATGGTGTTTCACTAATAAAAATTGAAAAGAAAAAAAGAAAATACCATGATGTGTCCATTGTAAAGTTTTCTGAAAGAGAAACTTGGCAGAATTCCAGTCTGAAAGAGAAGAAAAAGTCAACAAAGAGGACACTTAGTGACACACACTCACACACACACACACACACACGTGTGTGTGTGTATGTGTGCCCTCTTTTCTTTGCTGCAGGATGTTCACAATTTCACGTTACCCTCTTGGGCCACCGAAGACACCATGACCAAGCTGAAGGAATTATCAGAGCTGTCCCTTTTGTCCCTCTATGGCGTTTACAAGCAGAAGGAGAAATCTAGACTTCAGGGAGGTGAGTAGGAGAGCGGGGGGGAATGTGTTGACGGTTGAGTGGTGTATGTGTTGTGTGTGGGTGTGTGGGTATGTGGGTGTGTGTCCCAGGCCCACCAAGAAGCAGCTCATTGACTTGAAACAAGTCACCTACCCACACCCGCCCAGTTTGGTTTTTTTTCAATTTTATTTTATTTTATTGTTTTTGTGTACAATACTGTTTTATTTTTCTTTGGGGCACGGGGACACTCCCAATGGTGTTTGAGGGCATCCCTGGTGATGCATCCAGGACTCTACAGTGCCAGGGACTCCCGCATGCAACGCCTGTTCTCTGGGCCTTGAACAGCGTTCTGACCCTGACTTGGTATTTTTCTCTTTGCGTCCATCGTTCTTGTACCTGTAAGGCTGGGGATCCCATACTTGGCTGCTGCGTGCCGGAGACCACATTCTTTCCCGTGGCCCCTAGAACTCGTGCAGCAGAGCCCGTGGGATCACACCTAGACACAAGTAGCCATGCCAGGCATTGAACTTCTGTCTCGCCAGCTCACTACGCCATTGTGGCCCACCACTGAGGTCTCCTGGATCCTCAGCCTTTTTTTATGTTTTGTGGGGTTTTTTTTGTTTTTTTGGTGAGGGGGGGACACCCAGAGGAGCTCAGGGATTACTCTAATAATAATACCAGGGGCACCGTATGGGATGCCAAGGATTAAACCTTGGTTTGCTGCATGCAAGGCAAGTGCTTTATACTATCACTCCAGCCCCATCCTTCAGCCTTTTGACACCTGAGGACCAACCAACCACAGGTCTGTATTTGAAAGTCACTGGGCTTCACCGGGAAGGCTGCAGAGTGTGGAAGTTGGCTCTCTTGGGCTCCACAAACACCAGCTCATTCCTGGGGCACCAGGTGTCAGCAGGGTGACTTGGCTCCATCCCATGGTGGAGGCAGGACCCCAGATTCATTTCTCTCAACCTGTCCCAACAGCCTTAGAAGTTGGCACTTCCTCAAACCACAGTCCAGGGACCAACAGTGCCAGCATCCCTCCCCTGACCTAAAAACACAATCTCAGGCCCCAGCCTTTACATCAGAATCTGATTTTATTTATGTGATTTGGAAGCCTCATCCAGCCATGCTGGTGGTGGGGGGTGGAAGGGGGGTGACTCCCAGCGGTGCTGGGGGACAATGTGGTGCCTGGGATCAAGATCAATCACATATGCGTGATGAGAGTAGACTATAGCCTGAACATGATTGCCACTCAACGTCTCTTTTGTAAACCACAGCACTCAAAAGGAGAGAGAGAACAAAAGGGAATGCCCTGCCACAGAGGTAGGGTGGGATGGGGGGATGGGGGGGCTGGAGGGATACTGGGATCAGTGGTGGTGGAGAATGGGCACTGGTGGAGGGATGGGTACTCGATCATTGTATAACTGAAACCCAAGCACAAAACTTTGTAAGTCTACAACTGTACCTCATGGTGTTCACTAATAAAAATTTAAGGAAAAAAAATCAATCACATATAATGCAAGCACCTAAGCCTCTGGTCTGTCTCTCCAGCCCAGAATCTGCATTTTAATAAAACCCCAAGACAAGCGCGCACCTGTATGCCACAGTTCCAGGAGCGCTCCTTCTGGTGCAGGAACTAGCGGAGGCCAGGGCAGAGAGCCAGGCAGGCAGTTTCTCCTCATTGATGCAGGTGCCCAAGAACAAAAGATGAGGTTGTCCCTGCTGCCTCCTGCTCCACTTGCTCCCCACCCACCCATGGCAATAGAACTGGTGTTCCAGGGAAGTCCCTTCCCTGCTTTGGGTCTCAGTTTCTCCATCAGAGAAGTACTCTCAGGTTTGGTCAGAACCTGGTGCCTTCTTGGACTTGGAGCCCCAAGCCAGTGAGTAGTCCTCTTGTCCTATTTTCTGGAGGAAGTTCGCTGCTATTGATAAGCCCAGAGATTATTCCTCGAGGCATCCCGTGCCAAAGCACAAACTCAGTCTTATTGTTCAGATCTGGCTAGACCAGAGAGACACGTCAGTGACATACTTGTCGAGTGACGAAGCAATCTGGACAGTGTCCTGCAGAGAAAATACTCATTGTCTGGGCCCCACAGTGAGGAATGTTCAGGCGGTGTCCAGAAACTTTGTCAAAACTGCTGTTTCATCCATGACATTCAGGAAGAATACTTTGATAAAATCCTTCCTCGCCCTCATTGCTTGTACACCCAGTCAGAAGTTTAGGAAGACCTGCTAGCTCTCAGATCTATCCTAGTAGAAATCTCTTCTTGTTCCAGACTCGGGGGGGGGGGGGGGGGGGGGGATAGTTCAAATCTGGTTTTTTTCTCTATCAATTTTTGATTTATTTGGTTTGGGAACTCTACCCAGCAGTATTCAGAGAATGCTCCTGGCTCTGTGCTCAGGGATCACTCCGGGCAGGCCTTCCCAGTGCCAGAAATCAAACCTGGGCTAGCTGCATGGAAAGCACTTTACCCACTGCACTATCTCTCTGGCCCTCAACTTTGGGTTTTTTTTTTAAATTTGGGGGGCTATACCCGGAGGTGCTCAGAGCTTACTCCTGGCTCTGCTCTGGGATCACTCCTGGTGGTACTCATAGAACTGTATAAGGTACTGGGAATGGAACCCAGGTTAGTGACATGCTAGGCAAGCACCCTACCCACTATACTATCTCTCTGGCCCCTTTTCTCTATCAAACAGTACTGGAAGCCAGCTTTGTTCCTTAGTCCGGGGAGCATCTAGGATGCTACTTCCTATGCTGCCAGCCAAGAGGGGACATCTGTGACAGACCACATGACTCACCAAGCCAAACCGCTTGCTCTAACCTTTACTGAAGATGTTGGCCAGACCCTGACCTCGTTGAGTTCAGGAGTGAGGGAAGCAGAGTGGAAGGCAGCAGTTGATAAGATAGAGTTGTACCCAATGTATATCTACCACTCCACCCAACCTAGTTCTTTTCCTCACTTCTAAACTCTTGAGAATTGTGGCAGAGAGAATCATTGTGTATCAACCAAAAGCATCTGGATGGAAGTATAAGTTCGTGTTCGGCTCCGTTTCACCACTGATCTCTCCTTCTTTCAGGCGTCCTGGTCAAAGAAATCATCAATAACCTGATGAGTGCGACTCAGCCATCAAACCGCCGCAAACTCGTCATGTATTCAGCGGTAAGTTGTTTTGCTCCCCCTGAGCATCCGTTTGTTCAAGTATCTGATCTCTCTTTTTCTTTTTTTCATTAGTGAAACACCATGGGGTACAGTTGTAGACTTACAAATTTTTGTGCTTTGGTTTCAGTTATACAATGATCAAGTACCCATCCCACCACCAGTGCCCATTCTCCACCCCCACCAATCCCAGTATCCCTCCCACCCCCGTCCCCCTCAACCCACCCCGCCTCTATGGCAGGGCATTCCCTTTTGTTCTCTCTCTCCTTTTGGGTGCTGTGGTTTGCAAAAGAGGCATTGGGTGGCAATCATGTTCGGTCTATAGTCTACTTTCATCATGCGTCTCCCATCCTGGGCAGATCTTCCCAGCACCCTTCATTTGGTGCTCCCTTCTCTATCTGAGCTGCCTTTACCCCTAGAGTGTGCGGCTGGCCTCCAAGCCATGGAGTGAACCTCCTGGTATTTATCACAGCTATTCTTGGGTGTTCACGCGGCCAACATGGCCGACCCGAGTTCGATTCCTCCACCCCTCTCGGAGAGCCCGGCAAGCTACCGAGAGTATTCGATATGCCAGACACAGTAACAACAAAGTCTCCAACGGAGACGTTACTGGGCCCGCTCGAGCAAATCGACGATTAACGGGAGGGCCTTTACCTTTACCTTTATTCTTGGGTGTTAGTCTCTTATTTTGTTACTTTATGTTGCCCAGATGAATGCGATCTTTCTATGTCTGTCCCTCTCTTTCTGGCTCATTTCGCTTAGCATGATCTTTTCCATGTAGTACCACTTGTATGTAAATTTCATGATCAAGTGTCTGATCTCTTGGAGGAGGAAGCATGGCCTTAACCCTGTTCCCCAACACTCTGGAGTGAGTAGATGCCTACTCCCATCAAATTTAAGTTAAAACATAATTCTGCCACTTCAACAGTTGTCACTATTTTTGGTTTGGGGGTCACACCCAGTGGTACTCAGGGATTACTCCAGGCTCTGTGCTCAGGGATCACTCCGGAAGTGCTCTGGGGACCATATGCAGTGCTGGGAATCCAACCCTGGTTAGAGCTGCATGCAAGACAAATGTCTTATCCCCTGTACTATCTATCCAGCCCCAAACATTGTCACTCTTAAAATGGACAACAAAGCACATAAACTTCACAAAGAGCTGCCTATAAAGGCCACACAAACAAATTCTGGTGCCGCAGAGAAGGGAGACATCAGTCTGTTTGATCCTTAGCATAGTAAACAAGAATCACTAGGTATAACCAATGTCAATGCCAAAATAACTTAATTTTAGGGACTGGGGAGAGAGCACAGCAGGGAGAGTACTTGCCTTGCACGTGGCCAACCTGGGATCGATCCCCAGCATCCCATATGTTCCCCTGAGCACTGCCAGGAGTGATTCCTGAGTGCAAGGCCAGGAAAAATCACCCTGTGGCCCATAAACCAAAAAAAATTAATTTTAAAATATAGTCTAATGTTATCCTCTGTAATATTTTAAAATTTAGTGAAAACCAATAAAACATTTTCTACTGGGAAAGTCATGTAATAAAAATCAAAGATTTGTTTCAGATTTCCTTTCTTTTGTTTCAGGATCCTATGATCTTAATTATATCACTTAATTTTTCTAGATCTCTATTTCTCTATCTTTTAAAAGAAAATAACACTATAACACTGTCCTCCCGTTGTTCATCGATTTGCTCGAGCGGGCCCAGTAACGTCTCCATTTTTTTTTTTTAGACTTGTTGTTACTGTGTTTGGCATATCGAATACGTCACGGGGAGCTTGCCAGGCTCTGCCGTGTGGGCGAGATACTCTCGGTAGCCTGCCGGGCTCTCCGAGAGGGGCGGAAGAATTGAACTCGGGTCGGCCATGTCAGCTGCCTGCAAGGCAAACGCCCTACCGCTGTGCTATCTTTCCAGCCCAAAAAGATATATATATATGCAAATCTCACAGCCAAGTACAGAGCAGATACTTTATCAAAATAAGCTTTTCCAGCACAGGATGATCTCACTTATATCAATGGTGTGTAAAATAGCTGCACTGTAGCACTGTTCTCCTGTTGTTCATAGATTTTCTCGAGCAGGCACCAGTAACGTCTCCATTGTGAGACTTGTTACTGTTTTTGGCATATTGAATACACCACAGCGAGCTTGCCAGGCTCTGCCATGCGGGTGGGTTACTCTCAGTAGCTTGCCAGGCTCTCCAAGAAGGACAGAGAAATCGAACCCAGGTAGGCCATGTGCAAGGCAAATGCCCTCCCTGCTGTGCTATCGCTCCAGCCCAAATAAAATAACTAGATGAGAAAATGTAATGTAGTAAAGGGGGGATGCCTAGATCAGCCTTGACCTCAGAGTAGAGGGAAAATAAGTATAGAGAAAGAAAGAAGTTCGGGGGGAAAGAAGAGAAAGGAGACTAGGCATCAGGGGCCTAGTTATACTGATGATGTGGGAGAGTGGTAGAGCTATATATCTAAACTACAACCACAAAGCTTTGAAATGTGCTGTCAAGATAAGGATATTTGAGGGTGCACAAAAACAATGGTTGGAATTGGTGTTGAAATATTGTACATCAAAAACCCAACTATCAATAACTTTGAAAATCATGGTTCTTGGTCTTCTACAACTGTCTAATACATACCTGTTGAAGATAATTCTTTGTAAATCATGGTTCTTTGGTCTTCTACAACTGTCTAATTCATACCTGTTGAAGATAATTCTGAACCAGATGTTAAAATAAAAAATTTGTGTCAACTCTCTGTAGCACGACACTACCGTGAGTGGTCTACAGATGGCGCTAGATGTCTACAATGGACTCCTTCCTCCCTATGCTTCCTGCCACTTGATGGAATTGTACCTGGACCAAGGGTAAGTGTCTAAGAATCAATCTTTCCAACTTCGCATTGCTAGACCTCGAGTTTCTTTTGTCTTTTTCATTGGTCTTGTTTTACATTCCAGAAAGGAGGGTGCTTTAAATAGTGGCCATCCATAACTCCTTCATAAAGGAGTCATGTTTTCACTTTGTCTTCATGAAAACTTCTGAGGAAAAACTATATACACAACGTCAATGAAAAAAAAATTGAAAATTACCCTAAAAGACAAAAGCGACTTAATTTTTAAAATCATAACAAATCTTCAATTTCTTTAAAGCCATTATACAAGTATTTTATATATATATATATATATATATAAAGTCAATAAAACTTTGAAAACAACCCTAAATGACAAAAGTTGCTTTTAATAAAAAGATTATGGTATTCAAAGAAGTAAACAAGCATTACATTTTTCTCTGTGTAAAAAAAAAAAACACAGAGAGGCAGGAGATGGTAAAAGATGTCAAAGGAAAAGGAAGTTCATGGAAGTTTCTGTTACAAGTCAATGAGCAGGACCGTCTGTAACGTTTCTCCCAGGGATTTTGTGAAGTAAAATATCACAGGCAAATTTTGGACCAAAGATCCTTTATTTTCAATGCCCAGAGTAAGAGGGAGCCTGAGACTATGGAGAAGCTGCTTCCTCTTACTGCAAGGGTCCCTCTTCCCCAAGCTTATCATTGCATGTAGACACACACACACACACACAACATACATAACACACACAAATAGGTTGCATGTTTAATTGGCATGTTAAATCTATTTTTAGCATTAAAAAGATTTGGAGGGTCAGAGCAGTAATATATCAGGTATGGTGCTTGCCTTCCATGCAAGATTTGACCCCCAACATCACCTATGGTCCCCCACGCCCTTCCAAGAGTGATCCCTGTGGTCAGAGCCAGGAGTAAGTCCTGAGCATGATGGAAATGATGCAAAAACAGACCGAAAAAAAAAATAAAATTAGGGGAAAGCCACTCCCAAGGTCAGTTTTAGGAGCACCCTGACACATGCTGGTTTGGTACAATTTCAAACCCCTTTTCCAGTAACAGTCTTCTGAGATAAGTAAGATGCTCCAGGAAGAGCAGTTCAGCTTCTTCCTATTAAGGCACAAAGGTAGGAGACAGACACAAGGGTAGGATGGATGGCGTGCTTGCTAGCGTCTTTGCTTAAGTTCTTTTTACCAGCAGGCTGTGAGTTGAAGGGCTCCTCCAAGACTTCCACCCCCTCCCCACCAACCAGGCTACATTCATATACTAATGACTTAAGTATATGCATTAAAGACTTTAAACACCTCCATGGAGCTTTTGGGGACCAGTCAAAAGACAGACCCATGGTGACCACAGAGTAACTTATGGTCATTGTGTCCCTCCCCAGTGACCAAGGCTCTGCTTAAAGTCACTTAGCAGAGTCAAATTTTGAATTTTATTTTATTTATTTTATTTTTTATTTTTTTTAAGGCCCTCCCGTTGTTCATCGATTTGCTCGAGTGGGCCCAGTAACATCTCCATTGGAGACTTTGTTGTTACTGTATTTGGCATACCGAATAGGTCATGGGGAGCTTGCCAGGCTCTGCCGTACAGGCGAGATACTCTCGGTAGCTTGCCAGGCTCTCCGAGAGGGGCGGAGGAATCGAACTCGGGTCGGCCATGTCGGCTGCCTGAAAGGCAAATGCCCTACCGCTGTGCTTTTTGAATTTTAGAAGGACTCAGTTTACCCAAAACTGTAGGGGTTGCCAGGACATGTGGGTTTCATTGTTAAATCATTGCAAACTGGGAAGAGCTGGCCACCAAGGCCAGCACCATGTCGAGAATGAAGACCCATGACCCATACCCATGACCCAGACCTTGTCTTTGGAAAGATAAGGCCAGAAGTACCTTTGGAAGCTCCACAATTTTGTGAGATATCATTAGTGGAGGGGCTGGAGCGATAGTACAGCTGGTAGGGAGTTTGCCTTGCATGCAGCCAACCCAGGTTCAATTCCTCCATCCCTCTCAGAAAGCCCTGCAAGCTACCAAGAGTATCCCGCCCACACAGCAGAGCCTGGCAAGCTCCCCATGGCGTATTTGATAAGCCAAAAACAGTAACAACAAGTCTCACAATGGAGACGTTACTGGCACCCGCTCGAGCAAATCTATGAACAGAGGGAGGACAGTGCTACAGTGCTATCATTGTGGAATCAGAGCAAGGAAGGGATAAATTGAGGGCAGTGATATCAAAATTTAATTTCTGGGTTAATTTGAAAGGCACTTTTTATAACCCCCTCAAGGCACCCCAGTAGCTGTCCACAGGACCCACTTGCCTGTGAGGTGCTTCAGGGCTCAGCAAAGGCCATGCTGGGCTTACCAGTCTCTGTGACTGTATTGAAATCCTTAATAATTTTTCCATGATGTTTAGCACATTTTAGCAATCTGGTTTTTGTTATCATTGCTGTTGTTTGGGGCCATACCAGGTGATGCTCAGGGGTTACCCCGACTTTGAACTACAGAATTATTCCTGGTGATACTTGAGGAACCTTATGGAGTTCTGAGGATCGAACCCAGGTCATCCCCAAGCAAGGCAATTGCCCTCCCCCCAGTGGTCTCCCTCCAGCCCCCATTATTGTTGATGTTGTTGTTGAGTCCCTATCTCTTCTCTGTAGTGCTGCCGTTGTGATGACCAGGGATTGCACGCACTTGGCCACAGTGTCCATTGAGCTCTCTCTGACCCCAATCTCTATTTTAGGGGATCCCACTTGCCCTGGAGGAAATAAGGAGAAAGGAAAAAAGAATAACTTATTATTTTTTCAGCCATCATAGGACTGTAAATGTTAAAGTTGTCGTAAGAACTAAATATGTTCTTGAAATGTTAACTTGGGGATAGAGAGATCATTCAGGAGGTTGAGGACAGACCTGACATGTGCCAGGTACTGGGTTTGACCCTCAGTAACGCATGACCCCCCACCTCCAGCACCACCAGTGTAGCTGTGGGGACCCCTGAGCACTGAACTCTATGGCCTGCACCAGTGGACAGAAGCACTCGGGATTTCTAGGTACCTCTGGGGGTGACTCCAATTAAAAAAAAATACATGTATAAAGCCAGAGAAATAGCACAGCAGGTAGGCCATTTATAAGCCCTGATCACCATCAGGTGTGGCCCAAAACCAAACTATGTGTATGTGTTGTGTGCGTGTGTGTATATATAGATATATATATATATACACATATGTATGTATGTGTATATATATGCAAGTATATATGCATATGCATTTAGTGTTTTGTTAGAAACCAAATTTTTTAAAATACGCTATATGAGATTTTACTAACTTAAAAATAGTACTTCTTTTCACTTGCCAATTTTATGAAATACTTTTGCAAAGTTTCTGTATATATCATCAATTGTGTCTTCCCCACTGAAACCCATTTGAATCTCTGAAATCTATTTTCCAAAGTCCTTCACTGAGAAGGGTACTTTCAGGGGTGACCTGAAAAACCACAAACATTTTCAAAGAAAACAAAAAACAGGTTGACTTATGAGGGAAATGCCAAATTGCCTCTGTGGAGTTATTCCCCACAAGAGGGATCACAGAATCCTACATCGTGGGTGGGTCTCTCCACTCAGCATCTCAGCCGAGGGCCTTCCCCTGAATAGAACATTGTTCTTTTTTAAAGAACAGAGGGACCAGAGAGATAGATCAATGGGGAAAAGCTCTGGCCTTGCACGTGACAGACCCAAGTTGGCTCGCCTGCACCCCACCTGGTCCCCCAATCCTGCCAGGAGTGAATCCTGAGCACTGCGGGGTATAGCCTTCTAAAAGAGAGAATTGAAAGGCCCCTCAGGGTCGACCCTACAGATCCCTGTTCTCTTGCTCTGTGTGGTCGAGGCATGGATTTGCACAGTCTATGCAGAGGTCAGTCCAGGGTTCGGGCTGGTTTGGAAGCTGGAAATACATTCAGGGCAAAGACTGAAAGAAATAGCAAGGGAGGAAAAGAGAAAAGGAAGGACTCAAAGAGAAGCCTAATTGGAGGCCAGCCACACATGCTAGGGGAAAAGGGAGCTCAGACAGAGAAGGGAGCACCAACTAAAGGGTGTTGGGAGGATCCTCCGAGGATGGGAGAAGTATGCTGAAAGTAGACTATGGACCAAACGTGATTGCCACTCAGTGCCTCTCTTGCAAACCACAGAACCCAAAAGGAGAGAGAGTGAACAAAAGGGAATGCCCTGCCACAGAGGCAGGGTGGGATGGGGGGATTGAGGGTGGGAGGGATACTGGGATCTGTGGTAGTGGGAAAAGGGCACTGGTGGAGGGATGGGTACTTGATCACTGTATAACTGGAAACCAAGCACAAAAATTTGTAAGTCTACAACTGTACCTCATGGTGTCTCACTAATAAAAATTTAAAATAAATAAATAATAATAATAAAAAGTAAAAAAAGAGAGAGAGAGAAGCCTAAAAGATTAGCTCCCCGCTTCTCACTCAAAGGCTTCTCAGGTCATCCCCAAACTCCCCCAACATCTCAACTTCTACTCTGCTGAAGCGATTATCCAACACACAGCTCCTCACTATTTCCAACCGTGACCCTGCTGACCCCCCCCCAAAAAAAAACAGGCCCAGACTTTCCCTTCCCTCATCTCAGCCGGCTCTTCCCCACTGGCTCTAGCACTAGGTCTTGTGCCCACCCATGGCAGTGCCAGTCCCCACCTGCCGCTAACCTGTCTCTCCTGGCCTCCTGCAGGGAGTACTACGTGGAGATGTTCTACCGCAATGAGACGCAGCGTGAGCCTCACCCCCTCACCCTGCCTGGCTGCACACACAGCTGCCCTCTGAGCAAGTTCACTGACCTGCTGGCACCCGTGATCCCCGGAGTATGGGCCGATGAGTGTCTGACCACCAGCAGCCACCAAGGTACCAGAGCGTGATGACTTAGGGGGCCCCAAGCACTGCCAGAAACTCCAAGCCCCCATCTCGGGTGGATGTGCTTGGAGAACATGACTTGGCTATCTCTCCCTGTAAGAAAAAATGGATTTTGGGGGGAGGTGAATCATTGTATGTTTCAGAGACCTCTTCACTCCACTACACACATACCCAGCACCTTTTCTCTTTACGTGGTCCTGGATCCACTTGCCTAAACCTTGATGAGGGTTTTCTTTTTTTTTTTTTCAGTGTTATTTTTTTAAGCTAGAGCTCTAAAATAGTGGTCAAACCTAGATGCAAGTTTGTGCTCTGCTACAGGATGGGCCCACCAGTCTTTTGTTCTAGAAGGATGCCCCATGTCTCATTTGAGCAGGATTCTACTGGGTTGTTCTCTGAGAGTATGAAGTAGAGTTGATTTCACACCAAAGGTACAATTCTGAGGTAGAGCAAGGGAAGGAAGATTCAAATGCTCAAGATAGGCACATCTGAAGCACCGCCAGTTGTAGCTCCTGAGTGCAGAGCCAGAACTAACCCCTGAGCATAGTCAGATATGACCCAAAAAGCCAAAAAAAAAAAGGGGGGACTGGAGCGAAGTAGAGCAGGCAGGGTAATTGCCTTGCACATGGCCAACCCGGGTTCAATTCCCGGCATCCCAAATGGTCCCCCGAGTACCACCAGGTGTAACTCCTGAATGCAGAGCCAGGAGTAACCCCTGAGCATCACCGGGTGTGACCGTCCACCCCCCCCCCAAAAAAAATCCCAAAAAAGATTAGAAAATTAAAAAAATAAAGTCAGACACACTCATTCCAGCCTCGCATAGAAGAAACCAGAATTGGGATGCTATGGTAGGAACTGAAGAAATTCCTCTACTAGGAAGCTGAAGGGGTTATCTTCAGGCTCATTGGGAGGAAAGAGCTGAAAATAAAATCACTACATGGTCCTTTAGTTTTGGAAAATCTTGTTACTTCAGAAGGAACCATGCTCAAATTGACATGCAGAAAACTCAGAGGAGTTTTCTGTGTGTGAAGCTCTTGGACTGTGTAACAAATTGCAAACCAGTGATTTGATGAGAACAAGCTCTTTGGGCCGAGCAGAGCAGAGATAGAGTCCCCACAGAAGCACAGGATCTCTTGAAGCTCCAATGGTGAAGGATGCTGAATCTGAAATTATTTAAGAAAGGAAATCTGAGGGGCCAGGGAGATGGGTGAAAGGACTAGAGCACATGCTTAGCTTTGGGAGCCCTGGGTTTGCTCCTGACACCCATGCCCCAAACAAACAAAAAAAGAGAAACTATGAGAATGCATCTTAAACTGAAATAAATCTAGAACCGTAAGACAATACTGAATGCTTCGGGGAGAAAAATGAATTTAAATGTTGAACATGTGACTGTAATGATCTGTTCTCTTTCTAGTTTAGGAAATGTGATCACAATAGTGGTAAAAGATATGGTATTGATGTGCAAAGTCTCTGCATTCCTCTTCCACAAGTCCACTAAAGTCCAATGTCACCTCTCATCTACCTCTTCTTTCCCCCACTGAGTTTTGTGGCCCAAGGCCAAGGCTTTGTCATTGTTTGATACTATCTGTTCCCTGGTTCAGTTTCTTTTAATACTTCAGAGGAGTGATATCATCCAGCATTTGTCCTTTTCCCTCTGACTTGTTTCTCTTAACATGAGGCCTTCCTGTTCCATCCACGTAGCTGCAAACTGCAAGATTGAATCTTTTCTTACAGCTGTATAGTATTCCGTCATGTCATTATACCACATCTTCTTCATCCAGTCATCTGTCATTTGGACATTTGGGTAGCTTCCACGTATGATATCTATATCAAGGATAAATATGGTCCTATGTGAGGCTAACTCTATTGTCTCCCAGAAACCTAAACAAGTTCACAGGTCCTGTTGAAACTACCCACTCTACAGGAAGAAATGCACACATGATTCTCTTGAATTCTCAGGTCACAGAGGTGACCTGTCTAGAGATTTCCATGCTACGTGGCTATTGTGGATAAAGATGAAATTGTTCCTAAAGATGGTATCCACAGGATGCCAGAATGCAGAGCAAAACCATCCTTTCTCCTGGTTGGTCATCAACATGACACATGGATGGTTTGCTTGTTTGTATTATTGCTTTGTCTAAGTAAACCTTCTTTCGTGGGGTCATCCTCTAATTCTTCTCTTGCATGTAACTGTCTTCTGGCAAGTGAGCCATGTGTGAAATACTGAATAAAGTCATTCTTAGGATGTTCAAAATCATTACCTTTATAATGAATTTTGAACATGTGTGTCTGTGTGTTTAATCAGAATAAAATTTCTGAAGCACGAATTTTAGGGCCTCTATTTTTCAGATCTAATTTATCAGCAAGCCAATGCTTTCAGCACACTGCAGTCACTAACTGGACTTCAACAAAGAAAATTAGAACCTGACACATGTGACCTTAAAGGGTGATGAAAAAAGCAACAGACAAACTTCTTAAGAAAAGAGTGTGTCTCAAGTAGGTCAAAGTGTGGAAGATTCTAGGATTGGATCATTCAATTTGGCCTGCCACTAAATTGAACAAATCAAGTATAAACTTCTCAATTAAATTTGATAAATAGCACTAACTGCTAGATTTTCATTTAAAAAAAAACACACATAACATTGCTTGTTTTTAAAGATGAATTCCAGGATGGAGAGATAGTACAAGGAATAGGGTGCTTGCCTTGCACAAGCTGACTGGGGTTCAATCCCCAGCAGCCCATATGGTACCCCAAGTCCCATCAGGAGCAATGCCTAAGCACAGAGCCAAAATTAATTCCTGAGCACTGCCATGTGTGACTCCCCCCCCAAAAAAAACAAAAAGAAGAGGAGTCAGAGCAATGGAAGCAGGTGGGGTGCTTGCCTTTCACATGATTGACCCAGATTTGATTCCCAGTATCCCATGTGGTCTCTGGAGCGATCCCTGGACACCACCAGGTGAAGCCCCAAAGCCAAAACAAAAACTAAAAATGAATTTCATTTAGGATGCCCAGAACAAAAACTAAAGATGAATTTCATTTAGGATGCCCAGCCTGTGTATTTACAACATATGAAGTAAGCAACCTACATAAAATCCTACCCATAGCTAAGTCAGTCTTTCCAGCTAGGGCTGAAAACTAGAATACAGTTCAATGCATTCTAATATCAGTTTAACCACACCTTAGCTGGAAAAGTCACCCTAAGTCCAATTTCCTTCCACTGAAAATAACTACTTGAAAATAACAAAGTACTTAAAATAAAGAAAAAAGAAAGAAAGAATGTGCTTCTTTAATTCCAAAACATTACTTCCACAATCAACCTTTCTTCACTAACACTCTCCTAAATCCCCTGCTTTAAGCCCTTTTTTTTTATGATAAGACTGACAGACAAGAAGTTCTAGTTTCCCTTCAAAAATCTTTGCAAAGTGGGGGACCTGCAGTGTATATACATACACAGGCTCCTGATTCTACAGGAGCTTCTTGAAGATTCTGTCCATACTTTGTCCTTCCTTGACTCTTCAACCAGGAGACTTTGCTTTGACCCTGGTACGTTCCATTGGTATGTGCTTGTGCAATAAATATTCATTCCTTTTCTGACTTGCCTGACTTCAGCATGGCTGAACACAGATGTCAGAGCCTGGAGCTTCAGTCATTCAATAAACTAAAAGAGCTACAATTGGGTGTTGGTTGTGACCGTAATAGGAAGATCTGATCACTGTGTATGTCCACACCCACATGTCTGTGTTACCTGACCTTTTTGTAAGCATCGTCCATCACCTTGCATTCTCTTATCTCAGGACTCTTGAGAGCTCCTGTTCCACGGTCATCCTGCCAGCATACATCTTCCCTCTGAGTTTAATTTAGTTGCTTGTAACACCTTTTGCTTATCCTTGTCACCGCAGTCAATTTTTCCCCAGCACATGTCTCCTTCATTTAAGACACAGGGCATCTGACTTGTTTCTCCATATCCTCTTTCTCATTCTGGCCCTCAACTGAGGACATTCTGTAGCCCTAATGATCGCTCCAACCCCATCCCTGCACCCAAAACCAATATCCAACCTTAGATCCATCAACCACAGTTTCTCCATTAAGACTGGCTGAGTAGAGCTGAATCCCACCGTTGCCATTTCAAACTAGAAATCTTGACATTTCTAGTCCAACATCCTTTGAATCTTCCCATGGCACTTGGTCAATGGACTCCTACTGAATCCTGTTTTTTGCCAGAAGGTTTTGTTATCTCCCCCAAACTTGAAGCCCTTTTTGGCTTTTTTTTACTTCCCATGAACTTGCCTGAGTAAGGCAGGGTAATCTGTTGAAAACTCTTAACTTTTCCCATCCTTACCTCAAAATAAGCTTTCGGATTCCTTTCTTCAGGCCTGTTGTCTGACTCCTGGTCTCCTCAATCTCCAGGTTTGCTTCTTTTTCATTCTTTGCCCTATTTCCTTCATCTCTGTTGAAATGCCCCCAATCTCTCATCAAAATACACTCTCAAGTGTCCATTTCATCTCTTTTCAATGCCAGTGTTCCTCAACTGACAAATGACATTCTCTTTCCTCATTCCCTCTCACGCCTGAACTATCTGGAACATGACATTCATCCTCGTGTCTCTGAACAGCTTCCCCTCGGAAAGTCATCAGCCACTAATTCAGTGGCCTCTGGAGAACTCACTTTCACTCCAGTCCTCCATTGAGGCCCCCCAAGGGGTAGAGTCAGGACTCAAAGCTAGCATTATTCATCAATGTTATGATAAATATTTCTATGATCTCATTCTCTTTCCCACCCTCGTGTCTTGAGGACAAATGCCACAAAATAGGATTAGTGGGTCAGTGAAGCAGAATACTTAATAAATGAGAGATTTCATGAGTACCTACCTCTTGTCAATATATACCTATATAAGCATGTATTACATTTGCTAAGGAAACAGCAGGAAAATAAACGGCTTATTAGCAAGGGCCTGGGGACGTGGGCAAGGAGATAGAAAATTAATCCAAGTTTC